AGGTTGGTTCCCTGGCTGCTCCATCCCGGGCGACATCATGGTCCTTGATTTTAATCTATTCATAAAGGGCTTTTGAGAGACTCAAAACAAACTGATAATTTAATCAATTGAATCTATTCTGTACCTGTGTCTGCCTGCTGTTTGTTACTGAGTGGGTAGTGTACAGTAGAGCTAAGGTGAACTGCAATATGTATGTAGCTGTAACGTCTTTCAATATACTCATCATTTGATGCCTATTTGACATAATGTACATTATGTAGAAATACTGACTGTAGCCCTTAAAAAGCAATATTTTAAATGAATGATTTGGGTTTTCCTTTGTTTTCATTAGTATCTCTCCTTTGTATTGATTCAAGCATCTAAATAAATTTCAGATGCACCAGACTGTCACACAAAATAAAAAGCTCATAGTTCATTAAGTTCTATAGCCTATAATGTAGAATTAACCATGCAGGCTGTAAAGCACATTGTGAGTCTCAAACAAATACACAACAAGATTAATCTGGGGCAACAGCAAAACAGCTACGCTTGCGCTGTGGGAGAAGTCAACACATCTTGTGCTGTTATCGTCTAATGATGCTAAAAAAGTTGCATCATTTATCACAATACAAACATGATATTCAGATTTAAGGAAAGAGAGGTCAGTGTGCACTCGCTGTGTTAACACAGATTGCAAGGGTGTGCAGTAATTCTTTATAGCTTTTAGTATTAGTTGTCATTATTTATGACATTCTCCTCTAAAATGGCCTCATACTTATACTGTCGCTCTTTCCGGCATTTTATTTTATAACTCACTTTTTAGACAAACAGACAAATTTCTCACGCACAACCTGATGGTAAAACAGGGCTTCACATAGTATTTGTTTCTTTTTGTGTGTGAGTATGCAGATTGTGTGTGCACCACTGCATGATGTGCATATGTAATGTGCTATTTGTGATTATCTGATCTTAAAAACTTGTGTGTGCATCACAGTAGTTGTACCCCTGTGTTCGCAGGTATACATGAACAGTATGGACCTTGCTATATATAGTACATGCCAAATAACAGCCACATGCATATCCATGAGTAAGTGCCTGTACAGGTTTGTGTTCACTGCTGTTTTTTATTACTTTGTGGGTACACTGTGCAAGTGTGAAGGTAACAGAATAAATCTTTATCCACAAGTGTGTGTGAGAGCATCCATGTGTGGAAATATATAATTAAACATTTCCACTTTTTGTGTGAAGTTAGTAAATATACACAAGCCCAGAATGTATGCGTGCGGATCAGCACTACATTTGGACCAACGGTCTTTCTAATGCCAGTTTGTCTCTGTGTATAATGTGTGTGTACGTGTGCAGTGAGAACAGCTGCAATATTGAGCCTGTCGTAGGCGTGAGGTAATTAGTGCAGAAGATGATTGTATTATTTGGATGGCCGACCGGCGCCAGGGTTCAAATTGAAGGGAGGCAGGTGAGCTTGTATGGCCTGCAGCTGCATGTTAAACAACTCAAATGGAATCACAGAAGTCCCACAAAGGGAGGGAGGGAGGAAAGGCAGGTGAGGAAAAAACAGAAAGGAAGAAAGAGAAGCAGCCCAGAGAAGGACAACTGTGTGTGGCCAGTGAGACAGTGTCCGTAAGACCTAAATAAAGTTTAAATCACACAGTGTTTTAGGCAAATTAAACTTCTACTCCAAACAACAGTCACAACAGTAAAATGAGCTTCAGGATGTTCTTGGCCATACAGTTGATGTATTGTTTTAAAGGTACAGTAGAACATGGCCTCATGAAACTGCAGTAGAAGTTGGAATGTGTTACAGTTATCTAGGTTATAGACACATCTTAAGCTTATTACCATCTCTATATTACTCTAATATCATGGTCTAGTTTCTATAACTTACACAACTAATATCCTAAAGGTGCACTCAGATGCACAGGAAAGAGAAGTAGTAGTCTGTATTTTTCCACAAGTGGCCACTGTGCATACATATGCATGTATATGGGTTTTCTTTAGTGGTCATCAGACTGTGCTCAGATAAAAAAAATAAGTCTCCATAGGTTATTTGTGCAAGCAGCTTATTACAACCCATAGTTACCTTTTCTTGCTAAGTGAAATGTAGCAGCTGTGTGAGAAGCCAACAGTTTTTTCAGCAAAGGAGAAAGTCCAGTGACATATACAGTAGTTATAAAGCAGTCACAAAGTCACAAACCGTTTGTTTCCCATTTCAAACCAATAGTCAATGCTGCTTCTTTAAACCATAATGACAATCATTCCATTACTTTAACCACATATTTACTGTATTTATTGTAACCATGATGACAAACAGTCTCTAAACTTAATATAGCACTGACTTTAATCCAAACCATGATCTTTTATTAAATCTAACCATGTTTTTTTGTTTATTTGTTTGTTTTGCCTAATTTTTTGTCAAACCTTTATCATAATGTCAGGACATTTTTTTAGCCTTTGGTGTGTCTCCTGCCACTGTAGGGGCACTGTTTTAGGAAATGCACCTATGAGTTGTATCAGAGGGCAGGAACAAATGACATACACGGTCATTTAGGTTGGAGGACTTGTTGGATTATGAGAGCCACTGCTTTCATGCAACTGGTCCTTGAGACCCCTCTGTAGATGTACTGTGAAAACTTCTCACTTCTCAACTGGAACAAATGTGTCTTCATCTTAATTTTGGCCACTCACATGTCTATCTGTGCCTACTGTTTCTGACTTTCTATGCATTTGTGAAACCTCTTTTGCTGTACCTGAGCACACCTTAGTATAGATCAACAGTAAAAACATGTACCTGTTTTGACTGAGAGGTTGATGTTGGGAAGCATCACGGGCATCCGCACGATCCATATACAGTAATGGTGCATGAGGACATCAGGTAGATGAAACATACAGCAGTAAACTGGCAGTATGTGTCTCAGTGGGTCCCAAAACAGTGCACAGCATCTCTGACTGTTTACTGACTTACCATCCAAACTTCTAAATAATCACAACCATCTCAGCAATACTCTTATCAAAGTGGTTTTCTAGGTACAAATATCAAGAATATGTTTTATAAAATTCCTTTTATTCCAGCTTTTACACTGGTTGCTAAGGGACTGCTCTGTCCCTGTGAGTGAGTGGGTGTAATTCAAGTGTACCTGTTCTGGCTGGTTGGCATTGGACAGCGGTATTACCATCCAAATGATGTTGAGATTGTTAAGGGCAGCACTGGTGGTGAAGGAGCAGGGCAAAATGGCTGCTTGGCCTCGGGCCACCTGAACACTGCTTTGGGACACCGTCACATCCAGCGCCTGCACACACACTGCAAGAGGAAGGAGGCCATGATCAGTGGGTTGATTCACAGCAAATAAGCACACACAGTACTGAGATGTAAACAAATAAGACAACACAGCAATTACAACTCTCATCTGATGCATCCTATAGAACTGTATCAGGTGTGAATCAGTGTTGGAGAAGCTACTTTAAAGCATAGCAGTTACTTCACACTGGAAGCTACAAAGTTACTCTACAGAGAAATTTTGTTTGGTTAACTAATACAAAATTGCAATGATTGTTATAAACAAATCTGGATTTTGTATTAGCTGAATACAACCAAAACAGTAAAGAAGAAACTATTTAACTTGCACAGTTTAAGACTGTTTGACCGACTTGAGCGCTGGTCTAAAAAAAATGGGCGGTTGTCTTATTTGTCAGTTTTGAACCCTTTCACTTACAAACTTAGTAGTTTTCAATGTGCACCTTTTTAAAAACTGGCTTATTTTCAGAGCAGTCTCTTGTTTATATGACATGAGCGTTCTCCCAAAGTCCTTATCCAACAGGTGGTTGGCAAAGAAAAAGTCATACTGCAGGCTATTTAATCCCCTCTCTCAGTGATATTGGAAAACCTGCCCTTAGGAGGACAAAGAAGCAGACACAGGTAAATGTATAGATGTAAGCAATAATGAGCAAAACCTTGGCCGTCTACACTTACAGTAAATGTACAATATTTCAGGACGCATAAAGTCATATTTAATCTTCTATTGAATTATTTCTCTTCAGGCATTGCAGCAAAACCAAACTGCTCATCTGAAATGATCTCAGCAGCTAAATAAACATCTAGACCACACTGTGAAGGATCACATGAAATATGTAATGGCTAAATGAGAAAAACATGGCAGGCTGTCTCTTGAGTTATTCATCTCCCAAAACAACTTGCTTTTTTCATGGGAAGACGGGCTGTATCAATACATATTAGATGAACATGACAAGTGGGGATAGTAATGGCTGTTTTAGATACTATTTGCTAGTTTCCTGTGCACATGCAGTGTACAACCATGATAGCATGTTCTTGGGTGCAACAAAGGTTTAGCTTCTCAAACTAAGAAGCTAAACAGCTGCTTTTCTCATCTTGACTTAGCTGTCAGCCATAGAAACACACAGAGAGAAATATGTACATGGAGCATCCTATTTCTAGACCAGTTAAAGACATTACGGACAAAATTGAGTTAGCTCTGCCCCACAAGCATTCATCCAGGTCCTGAAAAAAAAAAAAACAATCTACACATGATGAGGTGGATGATTGCACTAATGTGATTTACAGAAACTGTAGCTGATCAGGTTAGTGATAATGTAAGATGATGATCTTGCCATAAACTAACAGGAGAAACCACCAGCATGTCATTTGTGTTGTTATATGTAGGAGTTCGAGCAATAAACCATTCTTGCACAAGAAAATTATTTCTTATCTAGTTTTTTGTATTACCTGTACCTTGACAGAAAATAAGGCTTTTATTCCTATCTGCAAAGAATTCCAGCCCTCAAGTGTTAAGTATGTCTGTTGATTTTTAGTTTTGAATATCAGCATCATATTCTAGCTGACAGACTGGCTGTTGCTCCCTTCCTGTCTGTCCAAAACCTGCTGGACTTCCTACGCTTTTCTTCTGCTGGCAGATTCAGTACCACACACCCTGCCGGCGCCCTGCTGGCACAGGGAAGGTAGGCAGTGCATGAACTGCTCCACTCTGTTATGGTTTATAAGAGATATGTTCAAGAACAGGTTTTATGAACAATTTCACTTATAAGCATCATATTTCACTGGAGTGTCGATATGCATCATTTACAGTAGTATAATTCCTAACTGTACAGTAAAACTAGTGTAGCCCAAGCTGTGTGGCAATCCCTCAGCATGTACTGAGCTTCCATTACCCTTTGTGACATCTACAATCTTAGACCATTATCATAAATACAACCTATTGCTCACTACTCTAAGCTGATCTGCTCCTATCCTCTGTGCACACACATGTTCACTTCCTGCATAGAGTCGATTTACTGTGTTTGAGGATTAAGAGAAAAGAAGAGGATGTTCATACATGAAACACAAGGTTAGAGGACCTTAACAGAATGTGTGACTGACAAAAAGAGCACAGTGCAAGTGTTTATTGTGTGTGGGCCACACAGATATTAAATGTGCTAGAGTTAGAGAGAAAGATAAAAATGATGGGAAAGGAAGGTAGCAGGCAAGAAAGAAAAAGAAAGAAAGAAAGAAGGGTCCTAGAGGAATGAGGATAGAAGGAGCATCTTATCGTCTCTAAGCCTCTTTCAAGGCAGCAGTCTCTCAAGCAACCAGCAGCTGGAGGGCTCATTTCAAAACAGTGGATTAGGGAACGACTGCACAGAGAGCCTGTAGGCTCCAACAACCAAAGAACACACATGCACATCCTTGTTTTGATCACTTACAGGTTCCCTACATAGATTTACTTTCATTTCCAGGAGATAGTTAACCAAGGCTGGCACTCGCTCTAACTTTACACTGCATCACTGTCGTAAAATCCAACAAAATGCATCTACTAGTGACGCCGGGCCCTGTGAAGCTGGTGTGCTCCTGGTTTTTGGTCCCCACAAGTATAGAACCACCCGCTCCCCAAATCATAAACAAGCACACAGGCACACATGCTAGTGAATGTATGCACCTATAAAGCGCACACATGCTGTCTTGACTCAGACACTCATGCACTAAGAGTGGGAAGAGCTCGACAGTTCAACTAAACTGTGGCATTTCTTGGAGTTACCTCATTATTGCACACACTTCTGCCAAAGATTCACCCAGGCTCCACAGTTCCACATGAAGCATGTCCAATAGACAACTGCTCTTCCAGAGCGTATACTGTAAAAGGTTTGATATGTGGGGAATGAAAGGAACGGTGAGCCACTCACTGTGAAATTTGACCAGCCAGATAAAAAAGCGTGATGCAATGTATAAAGTATGAAGTAGTAATGTTACAAATAAAAAGGATTATGTCTTTGCTCAGTAAAGAAACCACCACCTGAAACCACAAACCACACTGAATCTAAGAAATACTCTCAAAGATAGACCAGGTTTTGATAGCCACTATTACTTTATGCTTCCCTCTGTTTGTTCTCTTTCAGCATGTTTCTTTACTGCCCAAGGCTACGTGCAGTGCAGACCTCTGCAATCTTCCTCATATCTTCAGGCCGATGGGCATGGGTGTGATGTAAACAAGCTGTCCATCTGACTGAGCTTACCATCCAAGCCTTCGTCAACAAACATCTGGCTTCCTCTTGCTCTCACTTCCAGCTCTGAGCTACCCTGAGGCACAGCTCAGCAGAACAGCAAAATCTAACTATGTTAGCCCTGCCTGATGCTGACCATTCAGTGCCCAGAGCTTTATGAACCTGCAGTACATCACTGCTACACCATGGCCCTTATTAGATATTGCTGTGGGATGTTACTTCCACATTTTCAGTATATCATTTTAGGATAATTTGGTCAAGTCACATTGATTCAATTTAGGCAACTGTCCACTGACCAGATGACTTAGGATTTTCATCGACAACTATAGCAGCCCTCTAAATATAAAGTAGCAAAATGAACTGTTTACTGCTGACTCAGTTGGCAAAATGTTTAAATTTGGCCTTGGATATTTACACCATCCATGAGCTGCCAATTCATATATTAGTAGCTTCTTGCTATTTTGGGGGAACACTGTTGAGAGGAAACTGCCTTTACCTGTCTCTGACTGATAATAAACCATAAAGTAAGCCAGGACAGGCATGTATTTGTAGAAATGCACAGGTATACTGTATGGGAGCCTTTGTGCAAATTGTTCTTTCTTATAAGCAATAACCTGCCATTTCCTGTTGTGTTTTTCATTTTGCATGCTTTTATTAATAATGAAATTACAAAAATATGGCAAATTTGTATAGAGAATAAAGGTGTAATTGAAAATATATGGAATTTAGTGAAATGACATGAAACAGATGGATCATGTAAATCATAATAAAATGTCTTATTTGTATATAAGATAAAAGTTAGAGGAAAATATTTACATTTGAGGGAGGAAGAGGGAGAGTGGAGCAAAGTGCTGTGATGAGTGGTGAGTAAGAGCAATAACCGAAAAGGAGAAATAAAAGAAAAGTAAATTACTATGAGAAGGAAAGAACAGTCAGTCAGGGAAGTACTGTACAGAGAAGAAGAATAAATCAGAAGAAAGAGACAAAGGAGGAGGAGAGGAAAAAGCAGGGAGGATGCTGCTGTTTCCAGAGAGGACTAGCTCTCTCTCATCATGTGGGAGCAAAGTGTCAAAAGTGCTGTTGATTAATGCATGAGGAAAAACATACACCTCATAGAGCATGGAAATCTGTGTGTGTGCGCTCATGCTAAGATGCAGCCATGATGGGTTAGAGAACAAATACAAAATGAATACAACACTTCCACTCTCTCACTTACGCAAATGCTCACTGATTCTCTCTCTCTCTCTCTCACACACACACACACACACACACACACACAGAGAGAGAGACCATACCTGCTTGGCAAGTCATTTGCATCTGTCTTTTTATTCATGTGACTCTTTTATTCATAGGATTTACTTTAATTTCATTTTCAAAGAGATGCCCCTAATATGTGATGTGATGAGCCTCTGGCACAGCTTTGGGCTGGGACACACACAGAGACATGTATACATCTGTTTACTTCAGATGATTGATGGTGTTAAAAGGTGGAACTATAGACAGACAGCAGAACGCACATTAATACATATTTAAAAGTGAATTTAATTCTCTATCAGACATTAAACTGAGTTCATTCCTCCTCACCAACAACTATGAATGAACTGATTGTTCAACTTTATCCTCAAATTTACACCCACTTACTGCACCTCTGTGTTTCAAGTTCATTTTCCATGGCATACCAACAATAGTCACCTTTTTTAACCAGAAAGCGACATTAAAAACATCACAGTCTGCCAGTTTCATGTGATAGCTTCCTTTTGTCAACTGCATTTTCTGTAAGAGTGAGACTTC